GTAACCATAAAGTTGAAATACTATTTTGTGCTTCAATAAGGAATTAAGGAGCAGTTCTTTGAATTTTTGTTGTTAACTAGCTAGTCTTAAGTTCAGTCACCATCTTAAAGTAAGGAGGAATGCGATTCTAAGTACAGAGTGCCAATTGCCATATTTGATCTAGGTCTTTAAAGTGAGATAACTTTCTTGGACTACAATAAGAAGCATGTTAACATCATGGTCATCGTAGCAGAAGTACTGATGATTTTTGCTTCTTTTTTGTTTAACGTGGTAGGCTTTACTAAAGTTGGTAGCTGACTGTTCAATGGTGGCCCTGAGCCCGAGTAGAAAAGAAGCTGTAAATGAATCGCCTTTGAAAATTGCTCTTTTTTCATTGGCAAAGATGAGTTCATATCCACCCTGCAGACAGTTCCTGAAGTCATCAGAGTTATTCCCAGTGATTGGACGGCTCCGGCAATCCCCGGAATCAACCATTGCAAATTATGCTTCAGTTATCATTAGCAAAGTTTCTGATGCCAAGGCCTGAAGGTAAATGGTTGAAGTCTGCAAATTTTATCCGTCTAGCTGTTCTTCCACTAACTCATGGGTGACAAATGTGTGGTTCAGTTGACCCACAAGAACCAAGCAAAGCAAAATGATATGTGAACACTTGTATCCTCTGGGCATTTCGGAAGTATACCATGATGTCGATATCATACCATGCCCCAGTTCTTGTGCGTTACAAATTTTCATCTGCTAAGATTACAGGCTCCACTCGCGTGCGCCTCCCCATCCAGCCGTGCAAAACGGTTGGGAATCAAGCTCTTTCATGCGCTTTCCATCTTTTTTACCTAAAATGATACTTACAAGATATCTTCTTCCTTTTTTTTTCTTTTCTTTTCTTTTTTTTTTTTCCTAAAATTTGAAATTAAAACCTAGTAAAAAAATTCGTCAAAAAGGTCTCGGTGAAGATGGATCATAAAATCAAGAATATTAGGACAGTAATAAGTGCTAAGCTGATGATGCAAAACCTTATCTAAAACGATATACCACACGCTACAGCTAATCAAATTAGCTATAACCAATACAGAAAATACTAAGTAGGGGAAATGTTTTAATACCAACCACACAAGCATTAGCTAATTACTTTGATAATCTAACGATAATTCTTTTCCAATGTAAGTAAGAATTTGAGTTTGACTTACATAATATATAGGTTGGTAGGTTAAGAGATTAAAGATGGTTATGTCACATTTTGAAACAAGAAAAAACACCTACGCAAGCATTAACACGAGCTCCATGGTCAAGCCCCCACCTCTTTTCCTCCTAGCCACGTTTTTGCCTTTGGTTCCATGCATTCATGCTTTTGAATTCCTTTATGAAGTCACCCTTCTTTAATCTGTCTTGACTCTTCTTTTGGAGCCATACTATATCTTCACAACTCCATTGTCTCCTTTCCTTCACAAGTTCAACAATTTCAATGGATTCTGAGCACAGGAGAGTTAATGTTCTGCTTCTTCCATGGCTAGCTCATGGCCACATTTCCCCCTTCCTGGAACTAGCCAAAAGGCTTGCTACTAGAAACTTTGATATCCACTTTTGTTCTACACCCTTCAACATCACTTCAATCAAGCAAAGATTACTTCCTCCAAATTCCTCTGCTTCAATTCATTTTGTGGAACTCCATCTTCCACCGTCACCAGAGCTTCCTCCTCCTCATCACACTGCCAATGCTCTCCCGCCCCACCTCATGTCTTCCCTCAAAACCGCATTTAACGACTCAACCTCTAGCTTCACCACAATCCTCAAAACTTTGAACCCAGATTTACTCATCCATGACTATGTTCCTCTCTGGGCACCGGTTCTTGCTTCATCCATGAACATTCCGGCTGTTCAGTTCTTAAGTGTAGGCGCAACAATGGCTTCATTCGCAATGCATTTTTCTCAGAACCCTACTATTAATTTTCCTTTTCCATCCATATATCTCCGGAATCATGAACAAGAGAAATTCAAACTCGTACTTGAAGCTGTTAATAGAAGCAAACAGATAGCTCCGGCGCAAAAATGCCCTGAAAACTCTTCAAACATGATTTTGATCAAGAGTTTCAGAGAAATTGAAGGAAAATACATCGATTACCTCTCGGCTTTAACCAAGAAAAAGGTCGTCACCGTCGGTCCACTAGTTCAAGACCCAATTGATAATCCAATCACGGATTCTGAATTCATCAAATGGCTTGACAAAAAGGAACCATTTTCCACAGTTTTCGTTTCATTTGGCAGTGAATACTGTCTCTGCAAGGAAGAAATAGAAGAAATTGCTCATGGATTGGAACAGAACAAGGTTAATTTCATCTGGGTTCTTAGGTTTCACGTGGAACTGGAGAAAATCGGCTTCAAAGAGGCACTCCCAGAAGGGTTTATTCAGAGAGTTGGAAACAGAGGAAAGGTAGATGAGAGATGGGCGCCGCAATCGAGAATTTTAGGGCATCGCAGCATTGGTGGGTTTGTGAGTCATTGTGGATGGAGCTCGGTGATGGAGAGTATGAAAAATGGGGTTCCCATAATTGCTATGCCTATGCATTTTGATCAGCCATTGAATGCGAGGTTGGTTGAAGAAGTGGGGGTTGGGATTGAGGTCAAGAGAGATGGGAACGGGAGACTCCACCGGAAAGAGCTGGCCGAAGTTATCAGAGCGGTGGTTAAGGAGGAAAGTGAAACCGGTGAGAAAGTGAGACGACGGGCAAAGGAAGTGAGGGAATGCTTGAGATGCAAAGGTGATGGAGGGATGGATGACGTCGCGGAGGAACTGTTTGCGACCATGCAACATACAAGTGTAAAATTGCAATTCTAAGCCCAAGACACTTAGCACATATCGTTAAAACTTAAAATGTCCCTAATGCCTTCTCTTCTTTCCCCTTTTCTCTCCCTTCTCTCTTGTTTTTGCTTCTCTTCTCCAG